AAATTCACCATATTCTTACAAACAAATGTGTAGATCTGTATATAGCATTTGCTAAGAGCATATTTCTGCTTAACAGACTATAATAAAAGATTTTAGTATTTTACTGAGATTTTTATGATTAAAATATAATGTAATATCAGTATTTATTTTGAAATTTTTAATAGAGGCTTGAAACTGTCTCAATGTTCACCCAGACAAGATAATAATTCTAGTTTACAAGTCCTTGGGTAGTACAATGGAAAACATTAATGAATGCTAACCAAAAGATTGTAAGTTTGAGTCCACCAAGAGGTGCCTCAAAAGAAAATCCTAGTGATTAATTTCTAAATTTATTAATAATGAGCTAAAACTAGAAGCCACCCAAATGACCATTAGCATATAAACAGATGAGCAAATTATAGAACATATAAATGAGAATTTCACTGCATAAATTAAAAATAGAAGTTATAACTTATTGCTGTTGACTTCCATGGCATGAGTTCCATCTCATATCAATCTTGTGTGCAGTACAACAGCATCCTGCCCAGAACTGCATCATCCTTACAACCCTTACTATGGCTATTCACAATGTTGCGTCACTGTGACAGTCCATCTGGTTGAGGTTGTCCTCTTTTTCTCACTAGCCCTCTGTTTTACCAAATACGATGTCCTTCTCTAGGGACTTGTCTCTACTGATAACATCTCCAAAGTAGGTGAGATTAAATCTCATCATTCTGGTTTCTAGGGAGTATTCTGATTCTACTCTTTCCCAAACAGAATTATTTGTTCTTCTAGAAGTCCATGATATATTTAATGTATTTTTTCCAAGATTACCATTCAAGAAGGAACCCTAATTGTATAGTGATTTACTCATTGGCTGCTAACTGCAAGTTCAGCAGTTCAAAACCACCAGCTGCTCTGCAGAGGAAAAATGAGAGAGAGAGATGTTCTACTCCTGTAAGCAATTACAGTCTCAAAATCACAAAGAGACAGCTCTAATCTGCCCTATAGGGTTGCTATGATTCAGTATCAACTCAATGACAGTGAATTTGAGGTTTTTGAAACCCTTCAAATGCATCAAGTTGTCTGTGGTCTTCTTTATTGACTAGTGAGCTTATGAGCCGACTGAATATGCCCTGGGTTGAGTCAGGCGCACTTTAGTCTTCAAAGTAATTGCTTTGTTTTTTAATACTTTGAATGAATTTTTTAGCAGCTACTGATATATGCAAAGATATTAAATTCAAAGAAATAAGACAGGACTTTTGGGAGTTATGGAAATCTTCTATTTCTTATCGGGATGGTGGTTACATGAAAATATACTCATTAAAATTCATCTAACTGAACATTTAAATGTGTACATTTACTGTATATAAATAATACCAACAAAGTTGATGTTTTTGAAAAGAGTACCATTATAACAGAAGTCCATCTGGTTAGTGAATATATCCAACCTCAGAAGTTTTGACCTTCTCATTATGTAAATATTTTAGCCTAGAGAGTCTAATAGGACAGTTCGATTCTGAGTCAAATTCTGTGGGTCAAACTTGACTCAACAACCACAAACCAGCCCGATAACCTTCCCCAGTGCTCCTTATCCTCTCCTCATGCTACTTGCTAATTGTCAGTCGCTAACATGGTTACACTTCACACTTTCAATGAAACTAAACTGTAGGACAGATGGGGCTGACTGGAATAGCTTCCCATAAAGAAAGTTCTGAAAAGCCAGTAAGATCCTACCTACAAGGCACCCTCTGCACCCTTCACTATGGACCTTAACTCAGAGTACTAGCCAGGAAGGTAATATAATGTGTTAAGAAACTCAGAACAAGACAGTTGAGTGATAGGGACCTCCTATGACAAGGAAAGTTGCCAAATAACATTAAATTTTTTAAATATTACACTGTTACTACATATATATGTCCACAAAGTATTTTCTGAATGTAATAAGAAAGTTGACAAACATATGAAGCACTTTCTGAATGCTGATAAGAAATTTGGCATAGATATCTTTTTAAAACACGGGTTTCAGAAATGTATACAATACCAAAAATATTTGCCTTCCATTATATTAAATATATATTAATATTTATGAGTATTACTAAAGCCCTCATAGAAAACTTAGAAGATTTGATGAAGGTGATGGGAAAAGAGAATGACAAATGGAGTGCGACAGGACAGGTGAGCACCAATGGTTACTTGACCAGAGTGACCCTCCAGAATGTCCTGCCTGCTAGATCCTAAAGACAGAGTCCATGTCACCGAACTTAAGACCAAAGACCACAAACAGACCTATGTCTGTGAGTGACTTAAGGCTTCTTTCAGCAAAAATAGCCTGATGTTAGCCTCTTCAACTGGTACCCCGTGATGCCCTAAATCGAGAGCAGATGTGGAGAAAGAGCTACTCATGTAGGCAGAGTAGCATTGCCCTGTAGGAAGTAGCTACAGGAGGGGACGCATCTACACAGATCCTCTAAAGAATGATGGGTATGAAAGCTCTCGGCAGGGATGAGGTCGGTCCGGTTGCACGAATGTAGGTTGCTTAACCAGAAACTGAAACACTAAAACCAAACTCCGGGCCATCAAGTCAACTCTGACTCATAGTGACCCTATAAAACAGACGAGAACTGCCCCTGTGGGTTTCTGACTGTAACTCTCCATGGGAGTGGAAAGCCTGACCTTTGTGCCACAGGGCCTCTGGGGGTTTTGACACACTGACCGGAGGTGAGCAGCCCAACATGGAGGCTAAAGTAATTCTTGTGTGTGATTGTGAATGGGGCTTCTCAGGACTATAATTCCAAGAATCCTTCATACATGACACCATCTTGAAAACCCTCATTTCCTAGCAGGAACCTTGAAAAAGCCTGAGCCACACTTGTTTGTGGAAGCCATCTTTCTGAAGTCACTTGCATTCAGGTCTTGGCTTTCCTCCAGGACCCCTAATAAGCCTCCCCAGCCTGCACTGCCTCTACATCTGACCTGAGTCTCTCTCTCTGTCTCTCCGTCTCTCTCTTTCTCTCTCTCTCATAGACAAGAATCTGATTTCCAAATCAGGAAAATTAAATCTAAGTCAGTCCAAATTGTGGTCTTCACCAAGGCAAAGAGAAGTAAATGAAAATGTAGGAAGATGATTAAAACAGAACATTTCTATTCTGGTTTCATATTTTGTGTGAATGATGTGGATTATCGATTCTCCTATATCATGCCTCTCTTATTTTCCTTCAGGAAGTGCACACACACATCATCTCTACAATCATATCATAAATTTGAAATTACATGTGATCTGATTCTTTGCTGCTAATAATGATCACAAAATCCTCTTCCATCCATAGTCAAATAAAAGAGTCATGGCCACTGAATTGATTCTTACTCATCGTAATCCTCTGGAACAGAGTAGAACTTTCCCACAGCCTTTCAAAGGCTTCCAAGACTGTGAGCATTGCTGAATTAGATTGCCACCGCTTTCTCCAGAGCACCTAGTGGTATGGAACAGCTAACCTTTTGGTTACCAGATGAGAACTTAACCACTACAACAACAGGGGGGTGCTCATCCACAATGCATCCAATGCCACAGAATCCATTCTGACTCACAGAGACCCTAGAGGGCACAGTCGTTACCCTTGGGGGCATAACGGTTAAGCATTGACCTGCTAACCATTAGGTCAGCAGTTCGAAACACCAGTTGCTCCTTAGGAGAAAGATGAGGCTTTCTACTCCCATATCAGTTACAGTCTTGGATATGCACAGAGGCACTTCTACCCTGTTTATAGGGTCACTATAAGTTGAACTAGGTTCATTGGCAACGGGTATTAGTAGTACAGGGCAGAGCACACTCTCTGATATTCAGAGACTATAAATCTTTACAGGAAGCAGACAGCCTCGTCTTTCTCCCCCGGAGTGGCTGGTGAGTCTGAACGGCTTATCATGTGATTAGAAACACAACCAGTCACTCACAACCCACTATGTCACCAGCGCTTCTTACCAAACAAAAAAACTCGCTGCCATAGAGTCAATGATGACTCACTGTGACCGGAGAGTCCAGATAGAACATTCCACCTCTGAGTTTCCAGGGGTAGAGGAGCACCACCTGGCAGTTTGGAGTGGCTGACCTCTCTAACGGCAGCCCGACAGGCAACCACTCTCAGGAGAGCTCCCACGGGCTCCCTTACAGAAGGGTTTAAAGCAGGACTTCTAACCAGTTTATTCCATTGGCCCCTCTACTGAGAATTTGCTTTTCCACCCCAGATATACCAAATCAGAATCTGCATTTTAATAAGATCTTTAAGAATCACCTGGGGATCTTATTAAACTATAGATTCGGATTCATTATGTCTGGAGTGGAAATGCAAATTCTCAGCAGGGCATCAAAACAAAACGAACTGGTCAAAGTCTTCTTTACATTCTAACACTTTGTTTCCCAAAACTGCAGTAGGAGCAACTAACTCAGAAAATTAAGCAGTACGTAGTTCCAGTGCCACCGGGCAGAGTAGAACTCCCTAGAGTTTCTGAGACCAAATCTTTACAGAGAGCAGACAGTCTCATCTTTCTCTCCAGGAGAGACTGTGGAGTTTGAAATCAAGGTTTTGTAAAGAACTGTTGGGTGCTCTGGAGGGAAACACATATGCATTAGTAACTGAGAACAAAACACAGGTGAAATAGTCTTGTTAAGCAACCCAGGTCAAAAACTAGCTTCTTTTTAAAGATCAGAAAGTAACATTTGTTTGTTTCTAGGCAATCCTTTTATATATAGAGAGATCTTCTGTATTTTGCACTGTACATCTTTCAGGAATTCATTTATTCTGCACAATTATGCCACCACTAGGTATACGCCTTGATTTCATAGTCACTGTACTAGACACAGATAACACTCAGATGAGCATCTCTGCTACCAAGCCACACGCTAGAAATAACCACAGGCAGTTATGCTTAACTGGAACTGAGCCCAAGCTGTGGTCTCCCCCAGAGAGTTTAGGAAAACAGAAAGCTTCCAGTTTACAAGATTCAGGAACCACTGGGAAATCCTCTTACATCCTAGGCTGGTGAGTGACAGCAAGCATGAGGCACTTGTTCAAACGGTAGTAAGGCATTAGTAGGACCATGCAGATGAAAGCCAAATCCTCCTGAAATTAAAAAAACAGATGGACACAGATTTGTAGAAAAAATTTCAGTTGCTAATTTGCACAATCTATGCTTCTGGTAATTTTATAAAATGGAGATGAAGTTGCATTTCAAGTTAAAGAAAAGGGTGGGAGGGCGGGAAATTTTAAGGAAAAGCTTAGTGGGTGGATCCTGGATGAGTCA